ATTACTAATTTGTGTTAAGGAGAAGTTGGACAGGTGTACCTAATAAAGTGGCCGGTGAGTGTAAATTCACTAGTTTTTCTTTTATTACCTAAATAAATGTCTCATTTTTATTCTTGTTTAAAAAAAATGGTTTATTGCTTCAGATGTAATTGTATGTAACACAATAATTAAGACGAGCAAATTACAATCTGATTCTTTGTTGTTTACATTAGTTATTGTCAGTATTGGGAATGCAGGGGTATTTCTTTTACTGTGTGTGGATGATATTTAAAACTGACACGCCATTTTTTTATTTACATGTTTTATTTAATAAACAACAGACAAAATGAACACATGGATGGATCCTGCTGTACTGTAAACTATCAACATATATCAAGAGAACCAAGGCTGAATTTTGCAGCTGAAAATCCCGTACACGATCAATTGAAGCAGAGCAGTTGATTTTTAATCATTTTTTAATGCAATTTCCAACAGTAACTGCATCATAAACTGTTATAAATCAGCTTCATAATGCTGTAATGCTCATAATGCTTCATAATATTCAACATACTGTACATCATCCTGAATTTTAAGAGTGTCCTTCGTGTAACACCGTACAGCACATTTAATATTCTGCAGCTGTAAGTGAGCGCTGCTCCGTGTGTCCTAGAGAGTGTTTTTGGCGATGGCGTTGAGTGCTCGTATTTTAGTCACGTCCGCCACTTTCACTGCATATTCAGGAACAGACAGAGAGCCTCCCATACACACATTACTGTTCCTACAGGACAAAACACACATGTGAATAAAGCAAATTTACTAATGTTGATCCTGCACCATCATCATCATTTAATACAGTGTAAATGCACTATATGCTTGTGTTTATAGGCCTATTGTTGTGTGCGCAATGTTATATAAAAGTATATTTATATTCTGAGGAGTTTGGAGATCACGAGTCACTGGAACTGTTATTTTGGGGGTCGCGGGCTGAAAAGTTTGGGAACCCTGCATTAACAGATATATATATATATATAAATATAAATGTTTTTTTTTTTTACAGTGTAGGGTTGACACTTAGTGGTTGATGTAGGTATTGCAATACAAATTCCTAACATTAGAGAAGGGGGTGGGGTTCACCTGGCAACCCTCATCCTCCTCCTATGACAATCTAGGTTTACAATGTTACAATTTCATGCATTTTCATCATATTATTAACTATTTATTTAATTAAATAGTAAATTTGATCTGGAACCACCTGAACTTCATGCTGGAGTCTTTGCTGGATCGAGCAGAACAGTGAAACTCCTGAGATCCAGAACCTTCCAGAATCCTCTGCAGGTTTCTCTCTGTGATTCCACCTCCTGACAACAACAGAGTCACACACACACACACACACACACACAGCTGTGTTACAACACCGTATATCTGTAGATCAGACATTATTGCGTGTTGCTGGATCCGGCCGAGTGTGTTTAGTTAGAAAAGAGTGAGGATGTGAAATCAAACATACCTGGCATTATCACTATTCTGCCTTTTGCCTGTGCGCAGAATGACAGAAGAGCAGATTATGGATGAGCTGGAGTGTAGATGTGAGTGTCTGCAGTGTTGTGTGTCTCTGACCTGCTCCACCAGGCGTTTGATCACCGGTAAACCCTCGAGAGCCGAGCTGTCACAGCCGCTGGTCAAAACCCTCTCGAAGCCCAGCGAGATCAGAGTTTCCAGAGCCACCAGTGGATCGTGCACCATATCGAACGCTGAAACACACACCAGCGCACGTCTGACAGAGACAGTCACCGGCTGCATATATTCAGAGAAATCATACTTTACCTCGGTGAAACGTAACCGGTAAAGGTCGACTAGCAGCTGCGGAGGAAACAAACACAACACATGCAGCAGGTGATGGAGAAATACACATCAGGCCTAAAGGACTGATAGCCCAACCCCAAATGAATGATAGCCCCACCCTAAAGAGCTGACAGTCCTGTCCTAAAAGACTGAGAACACCACCATAAAGGACTGATAGTCACGCCCTAAAGGACTGATAGCACCGCCCTAAATAACTGATAGCTCCGCCCTTAAAGGACTGAAAGCCCTGCCCTAAAGGACTGATAGCTCCACCCTAAAGGACTGATAGCTCCGCCCTAAATAACTGATAGCTCCGCCCTTAAAGGACTGAAAGCCCTGCCCTAAAGGACTGATAGCTCCACCCTAAAGGACTGATAGCTCCGCCCTAAATAACTGATAGCTCCGCCCTTAAAGGACTGAAAGCCCTGCCCTAAAGGACTGATAGCTCTGCCCTTAAAGGACTGATAGCTCCGCCCTAAAGAACTGATAGCTCTGCCCTCAAAGGACTGATAGGTCTGCCCTAAATAACTGATAGCTCCGCCCTTAAAGGACTGATAGCTCCGCCGTAAAGAACTGATAGCTCTGCCCTTAAAGGACTGAAAGCCCTGCCCTAAAGGACTGATAGCTCCACCCTAAAGGACTGATAGCTCCGCCCTAAATAACTGATAGCTCCGCCCTTAAAGGACTGAAAGCCCTGCCCTAAAGGACTGATAGCTCCACCCTAAAGGACTGATAGCTCCGCCCTAAATAACTGATAGCTCCGCCCTTAAAGGACTGAAAGCCCTGCCCTAAAGGACTGATAGCTCTGCCCTTAAAGGACTGATAGCTCCGCCCTAAAGAACTGATAGCTCTGCCCTCAAAGGACTGATAGCTCTGCCCTAAATAACTGATAGCTCCGCCCTTAAAGGACTGATAGCTCCGCCGTAAAGAACTGATAGCTCCGCCCTCAAAGGATTGATAGCTCCGCCCTAAAGGACTGACAGCTCCTCCCTTAAAGAACTGATAGCATTGCTCTACAGAAACGATAGCTGCACCCTAAAGGACTGATAGCTCCGCCCTAAATAACTGATAGCTCCGCCCTTAAAGGACTGAAAGCTCTGCCCTAAAGGACTGATAGCTCCGCCCTAAAAGACTGATAGCTCCGCCCTTAAAGGACTGATAGCGCCGCCCTAAAGGACTGATAGCTCCACCCTAAAAGACTGATAGCTCCACCCTAAAAGACTGATAACTCCACCCTAAAGGCCTGATAGCGCCACCCTAAAGGACTGATAGCTCCGCCCTCAAAGGACTGACAGCCCTGCCCTAAAGGCCAGAAAGCACTGCCCTAAAGGACTGATAGCTCCACCCTCAAAGGACTGATAGCGCCGCCCTAAAGGACTGATAGCTCCGCCCTCAAAGGACTGATAGCTCTGCCCTAAAGGACTGATAGCGCCGCCCTAAAGGACTGATAGCTCCACCCTAAAAGACTGATAGCTCCACCCTAAAGGACTGATAGCTCCACCCTGAAAGACTAATAGCTCCACCCTAAAGGACTGACAGCTCCGCCTTAAAAGACTGATAGCTCCACCCTAAAGGACTGACAGCTCCGCCTTAAAAGACTGATAGCTCCGCCCTAAAGGACTGATAGCTATGCCCTAAAGGATTGATAGCTCCACACTAAAGCACAAAAAAAGCCCCAACCTAAAGAACAGATAGCTCCGCCCTTAAAGGACTGAAAGCCCTGCCCTAAAGGACTGATAGCTCCACCCTAAAAGACTGATAGCTCCTCCCTTAAAGAACTGATAGCACTGCTCTACAGAAACAATAGCTCCACCCTAAAGGACTGATAGCTCCGCCCTAAACTGATAGCTTTGATTTTTATTTTTTATTTTTTTTACTTAATTTTATAATTTCAGTCAATTAATTAATCAAATTCTTTAATTTTCCAGAAAAACATGAGTAAAAGCCTGTATGTTTCACCCAGCAGCTTTAATTGTTAAATAATTTATGTATTAATGAATTAAAAAGCCAGTAATTTTCCAGAGAAGTCTGCATGTGTGAAAGGGGCTTCTGTCAAAATGTGGAGCGGCAGAGATGAAGGGTAATACTGATGATGATGATGATGATGAGTGTGTTGCTTTACCCAGCAGCTCCATGCAGATGTGTGTGTGTACGCGTCCGTCCTCGGTGAGCGCGCCAAACACCAGCCCGTCCGCCTGCTGACTCTTCATCTGCTGGATCTCCCTCTTCATCACCTCCACCTCCCACTCAGAGTACAGGAAATCCCCCCCACGCGGACGGATCATGACGAACACCGGGATCTCCACGTTCTCCTTCACCACCTGCAGCAGACCTGAAACACACACATGCACACACACACACACGCAAATAATAGGCCCAGCATGTCAGGGAGTTAGTGTGTGTGTGTGCTCACATATGTAAGTGTGTGCATGTGTGTGAGTGTGTATTTAATTGTGAGCATGAATGTATGTGTAAGCATGTGTGTGTACACGTGTGTGGGAGCGTGAGTGTGTTGGTGCATGTGTCTATGCATGTGTAAGTGTGTGCATATGCATGTGTGTGAGGGTGTGTATGCATGCATGAGTGTGTGTTTGTGTATGTGTGTGTGTGAGCTGACCTGTGCTTGGCGTCGTTCCTCCCTCCAGCAGATTACTGCACAACTCAATTCGAGCAGCACCTGAACACACACACACACACACAACATCTGCACACAACACTTACAAAACAATCAACACACACGTACTAAAAGTGCAAAGAGCTGCACTCTCAATCTGATTACACACTGCTGTTTCCATTGACTGCATAATAGAAGGTGTGTGTGTGTGTGTGTGTGTGTGTGTGTGTGTGTGTGTAACTGTACCTCCCCTTTCTGCATTTATGGCAGACTCAACTGAGTCCACACACACCTCCATCAGGAGCCCGTCTGACATCTGAAACACACACACACACACACACACACACACACACACACACATAATATTTTAATTCATTCTCCTTCAGCTTATTCATCAGGGGACACCACAGCGGAACGAACCGCCAACTATCCCGGCATACGTTTTACACAGTGGATGCCCTTCCAGCTGCAATCCAGTACTAGGAAACACCCATACGGCCAATTTAGTTCATCAACATCCCTATAGGTGTCGCCGTGGGTTTCCTCCGGGTGCTCCGGTTTCCCCCAGTCCAAACACATGCGCTATAGAATTGGGTAGGCTAAATTGTCCGTAGTAGTGTATGTGTGTGAATGAATGTGTATGGGTGTTTCCCAGTGATGAGTTGCAGGTGGAAGGGCATCTGCTCCGTAAAACATATGTTAAATAAGTTGGCGGTTCATTCCGCTGTGGCGGCCCCTGATGAATAAAGGGAAAGCCGAAAAGAAAATGAATGAATGAATTCCCCTATAGCGCATGTGTTTGGACTGTGGGGGAAACCGGAGCACACGGAGGAAACCCATGCCAACACGGGGAGAACATGCAAACTCCACACAGAATATAGTCATTTATAGTAAAATACCACAGTGTTTTCAGTAAAATACTTGAATGAATCTGTTGTGGTGATTCTAATTGCTATAATAACTAACTTACAGTAATATAAACAAATGAGCCAGTGCTGTAGCTTACACCACAGCACAGCTTAGTGTAGTAAACAACTAAAGTATACACTACAGTATTCATTGTCAGTTTACTAGTTCATACTACAGGTGTACATACTATAATATGTACAGTATATAAGATGTCATTATACTATGGTGGTTCATTAACACTACAGTATTTACTATAGATTACTATAGTATTACTGATGTGGGCACAGGAGTTTGGCAAAGTGTCCTAAAAAGCGAGCTCGCGGTGCCAGTAACTACTCCGGCTCCTGCAATGTCAGCTTTGTTACGCTTTTATTAATGACTTTTATTATAACAGTGTCTGTGTAACTACATAGATTTCTGTTTTCTCTCGTGTTTTTACCTCTGCTGAGAGTCCAGCGCCGGAAGCTGATCACTCTGACACTCTCGCGATATTTACACGCATGCACAAGCGTTTCACTCTGGGACTCTCGCGAGATTCAGTGGAGACGAGACTTGAGCGCATATACTGGACTGGAGTGTGTTCTTTCGTTACTGTACAGAAGTGTGTGTACTGTACACTACAGAGTGTGTTTACTGTGACCTCCAAAACATTTGACGAATATCGGAGAATTTTCGTGAGTGTGGAAAAAGGACTGTTTATTGCCAGAAGTAATAGTTCCCTACTGGAAAAAACAGCTTAAACCAGCCTAGGCTGGTTTAAGCTGGATTTTTCAGTAGAGTTATTTAAAAAAATCCACATTCATTCACTTTCCTTCGGCTTACCGGTAGTTGCTTATTCATCAGGGGTCGCCACAGAGGAATGAACTGCCAAATATGTTTTACACAGCAGATAACCTTCCAGCTGCAACCAAGTACTGGGAAACACCCATACACACTCATTCTCACACACACACACTCTCATACACTAGTTGATCAGTTCCCCTATAGCGCATGTGTTTGGACTGTGGGGGAAACCGGAGCACCCGGAGGAAACCCACGCCAACACTGGGGAGAACATGCAAACTCCACACAGAAACACCAACTGACCCAGCCGAGACTCAAACCAGAGACCTTCTTGCTGTGAGGCCACAGTGCTAACCACTGAGCCACTGTGCCGTCCCCAAAATGACCCAATACTGTAGTATATATATATATATATATATATTTTTTTTTACAACTATAGGGTTAATTATACTACAACACACCACAGTTTACTGTAGTAAACACATAAAGTGTATTGATCAGTTCACTATAGTTATTACTACAGCATGCTGCAGCATTCAATAACAAAGAGTTGTTTGCATTTGCTTGAATATACAGTAGCCTCGCTATAATTCACAATACTATAGTGTGGCTCAAGAACAGTATAGTATTTACCATGGTATTTGTCGTGGGTATCATCACAGTGTAAATTATGTGTGTGATTTACACTTGTTCATGTGCTTTGTACGATTACCCACATGGCAAAATATCTCTGGCCCAGTTCTGGCCCACACAATCAGCTTTTGCTTGGCCCACATGCCGCAGTGAATTACGGTAGGGGTTCTCAAAGTGGGGGTCGGGACCCCTCGAGGGGTTGCGGGACAATGAAGGGGGGTTGCCTGGTGATTTAAAAAAATCTATTTATTATTATTAAATCATATAGGAATGACCATATTTTATCCATAACCTACAGAAAAAATACAGTTGTTTATAATTACTATATAGTTACTTTAGTAGCTTATAGTTACTAGTTCTATTGGATTGCGACCCCAGTGGTAATTACATTATATTAAAGACACAGCAATAGCGTCAGATGCTGCAGATTGATTTTATAACACCAGGTTAAAGTTTCTGGCCCATTTACCTCACTGACATTAAACAAAGAATATCCCTGGGTGTATTGGTGTGTGACATTGCATGCAAGGTTTCTGTATTCATAACCAAGATATTGGGGGTCGCGAGTCACTGGCATCGTCATATTGGGAGTTGCAGGCTGAAAAGTTTGGGAACCCCTGAATTACAGTACATGACTGGACCAAGTCTGACTTCCAGACAAGAGTAATAACCCATAACTGAGCCTGAACTGGGCCAGATATGTTGGTGGGTCACAACTGCAATGAAACTGATAAACCCATGAATCATTGCGATTTAGGCATGCTATGGAGGTGCTTTTTTTCAAAAGAACCTGATTGGTAGAATTTAAAAATAGTAAAAATGTATTTTAAATGTGAGTCAACTTACATGACCCACATATCAATTATTAACATCTGGGCCAAATACTACAATTTACATCCATCCCAAGTATTGTGTGCTTTTTTAAAGACGGTCCCACCTCTGCCAAACCAGGGCCATGTTTGGTCCACATGCTGTATGCCAGTGCCGGATGAATGCCTGCTGTGCCAGATTTATGCCAAATCTGGGCCAGAATTCTTTGCTACCTGGGTATAGGCTAATTAATTTATCAAATGAAACACACACTCTTTCTTTTTTATTCTTAAATCTTTAATATATATATATATATATATATATATATATATATATATATATATATATATATATATATATACACACACACACACATCAGAGTCACTGTACAATGTGTAAAACTCCAGTATTACTCTGTCTTCAATAGACAACTTTAAAAGGGTCTGAATACTTTTGACCATGTGATATTTCAGTTTTTCTTTTTTTAATAAATCTGCAAAAATGTCAGCAATTCTGTGTTTTTCCGTCAATATGGGCTGCTGTGTGTACATTAATAAGGGAAAAATGAACTCAAATTATTTTAGCAAATGGCTGCAATAGAACAGAATGAAAAAGAGGGGTTTTTTGCAGTCCAATCTTCAGTCCAAACAGCAGGGTTACAGGTGTGAAATGCTTATTAGCTTAGTGTTCAGAGAAGAAGATCCCACCGATGAAGTTCATTGTATCTCTAAATGAAAAGAGATATTCATACAGGAGAGAGATGAATCCAGAGCGAGCAGACACTTCTAGAAGACGCTGTCAAAGAGCCGCATCGAGCGCATGATGTTCTCATCCTCACATAAACACACAAGACAAAGACAGATAAAAGAAACAGCCACACTTTAATGACCATATCACAGAAACCGCTTCAGCAAATGAACTGCTTCAGTTATCTCAGATTATATGACATGTCTGCTGAATGGTTTTGATTGGCTGATGGTCACTCTAAGCTGTTTGTATTGTACTGTATTATTTAATGAATGTTGTGATAATAATAAATGAACGAGTGATGGAGAAATGCACCTTCTGACAGGACTCCATGAACTCCTCGATAGTGATCACTCCATCTCTGTCTCTATCCATTTTCTGCAAACATTGATCAGATTCAGGATTGATTATTAAACACTTCTTCTTCTTTCTATCATTCAGCAGGCATTATGGGAATGTTACCTTTCAATGTTGTCTGAATGTTTTAAAAACAAAAGCTAAAACCTTTCAGTCAAGCAGGGTCCACTGTCAAAGTATAAGCAACTTTATTACACTTTTATTTGCAACAATATTTGTCCTGAAGCACTGTTTTAGGGCCTAAAAGCGGTTTATCACAACACAGAATGACAACTTTCTTAAACTCCTTCAAGTCACTTCAGTGTAAACTGGTTAAACAGGTTTATACGTGCATGTGATGTTGTTTAGAAGAGCAAGAAGGATGATTTTCATCTGTTCATTGCTGCATTTGGGCTGGACAAATCTGTTTGAGGGCATGAAAAGCTGTTTCCAGCAATGCAGAATGACAACTTTATAAACTTAAAATTTATTTACAGTTGCTATGGTAACACAACAACTACAGTAATTGATCTGTTGTGGTGATTCTACAGTTGCTATGGTAACACAACCACAATAATAATTGATCTGTTGTGGTGATTCTACAGTTGCTATGGTAACACAACAACCACAATAATTGATGTGTTGTGATGATTCTACAGTTGCTATGGTAACACGACAACTACAGTAATTGATCTGTTGTGATGATTCTACAGTTGCTATGGTAACACGACAACTACAGTAATTGATCTGTTGTGATGATTCTACAGTTGCTATGGTAACACGACAACTACAGTAAATGATCTGTTATGATGATTCTACAGTTGCTATGGTAACACGACAACTACAGTAAATGATCTGTTATGATGATTCTACAGTTGCTATGGTAACACAACCACAATAATAATTGATGTGTTGTGTTGTTTCTACCACACTAGTACTAGTAGCAAATGACCCGGTACAGTAGTTTTCTACAACTATTGGGTATATTATACTGGAATACACCTCAGTTTACTACAGTAAAAACTAGAATAGTACACTACAATATTTATTATATTATATCAGTTCACTATAGTTAATGCTGCAGCATGCTGAAGAGCTTTAAATATTATATTGTATCGTGTATAACCACAGTATGGTTCAAAGCACTAGTATTTACTGTAGTATTTTCACCTGAAAGAAGTTTTCCACATGTTCTCTGGCAGTTTCCTCATTAATCTCCGGATGCACATATTTCCCCATCATATCATATATGGACTTCATGACGTTCATCATCTCCTGAAAAAAAAACACACACAGATGTGTTTACATCATTACAGCAGTGCATTATAGGGATGTAAACCAGTCAGATTCATATGATCATGTAATCTGGATTAAGTACTTGTAAAGGTACACAAGCTGTCACTAGGGTGGTGCCTTTTCAAAAGGTACAAATCTGTACCTAAAACGTCAATATTAACACCTCAAGTGTGCATATTAGTACCTAAAAAGTACAAAAGTGTTCCTCTTAAAATTTATAGGTATTAATAAACACTTTTGAGGTACCAATATGGACCCTTCAAGTACAAATGTGGACCTTTTGAAAAGGCACTACCCCAGTGCAGCTCGAGCACCTTTATTTCTGAGAGTGTATAATTCAGATTGTGTTCAGCAATCAAAAATATTTTTATTATATTAAGATTACAAACGTAACCTAAATGTAATCCAAAAGCAGATGATGTTACCATAAAGGTGTAATCTAAGAGATTATATTACTGACCACACATTTTGTCTTGTAATTTGTAATCAGTAACAGATTGTAATTCATTAGTAATCCACCATGGATTCTGAAATACCTTTCTTGTGATGAATCCGTCTTTATCGAGGTCATAGAAATTAAAGGCCCAGTTCAGTCGGTCATACATGGAGCCTCTGAGGATGAGCGACAGACCAGCGACAAACTCCTGAAACACCAACAAACACTAATGTGAGAAATGTTTTGTGAGTGTGTGTTTGATAAAATCTCAAAAAGCTCACCTGAAAGCTAAGACAGCCATTTCTGTTCGTATCAAAAGCCTCAAATAGAAAATGAGCATACACACACGAATCTGAGAGAGAGAAAACACACATTCATAATCAACAATAAACGGTCATACCTTTGTTTAATATGAGGGAAAACCTGCTTGTGCTGTTGCAACAACAGTAAAAACTTTACAAGAAAATAGTATTTGGGCTAAATTAAATTAAAATACATTTTACAAACACTAACAAACCACAGTAGAAACATTAAAATATAAAGTCAACTGAACGCCGCTTTGGACAAAGGCATCTGCTAAATGACAAAATTAAATTAAACATAAAAGAAATTGAAGTTATAAGTTAATTTGCAGCAAAATAAAGTGTATTCTGCAGCTTCTCACCTCCCTGAGGGAAGAACTGAGAGTAAATGAGTTTAAACACTTTTTCATTCACATATCCACTGGGACACTCCTGAAACACACAACATCTGATCACTCACACACTGTCTGAACACAACACACACGCAATTAATTACACACCAATCTGAGAAATATTAAAAGAAGTTAATTATGATGATAGATTCGATTTTAAGATTAAGTGTTTAATGACATCAGCTATAAGCATTAATTAATTTATTTATAGGATATTCATTAATTTATTTTTGTGTAGCATGCATTTGAGTGTTTCTGTGGCTGATTAAAGACTGTGGATAATAATTAGCATTGCAGCTATAATCTGACTAATATGTGTAAAAAATAAGCGTAATAAGCCACTCAGTCAAAAAAGTAAAAACAACTACAAACCAAATATACTTAAAATACGTCATTATTCTTTGGAGTTTATGTCCATCTCTGCACTGCAGTTTTAAGTACATCTGTGAGTCGGGTTTGGTAATGTGTGGAGGGAGTAGTGTAAAGTGCTGTTATTATATGTGTATTCACGTTCTTAAAGCCCCTGTAGAGGAACTGCAGCTCTGTTTTGCTGAATTTGGTTTCCTCCTGCAGTATTTCCAGCTGTTCAGGACGATGGCAGACGAAGGAGAAAATCTTCAGCTCATCTTCAGGACTCTCTGGAGGAAAATAAACATCTCAAATACTTGCAAACACATGCTGATACACATGCAGGAGAGAATGCTGTGAAGAATGTTACTATGCGTCAATAATAAACAGATAAAAATGAGATTAATTTTACAGTCAACATTTGAATATATCAAATAAAAAAAACAGAAAAACATAAAAAATATAATTTAAATAAAAATACAATATATTCAAATATAATTAGCACTCTCTGTTGGGGGAAAAATGCCTCTCTCACTTAGATATTTTGTCTGGTTTCTATTTTAAATATCTAAATATTTTTAAATCAAGAAGCATTTTCTAGACAAGCAAATATCTTGTCTTGTTTCCCCGAGCATCTGAATGTGTGAGCAGAAATGGAGACTCATCAGAGCAGCAACGTTTCTCCAATCTTCTATTGTCCAGTTTTGGTGAGTCTGTGTGAATTGTAGCCTCAGTTTCCTGTTCTTAGCTGACAGGAGCGGCACCCGGTGTGCTCTTCTGCTGCTGTAGCCCATCCGCCTCAAGGTTGGACGTGTTGTGTGTTCAGAGATGCTCTTCTGCAGAGCTCGGTTGTAACGAGTGCTTATTTGAGTTACTATTGCCTTTCTATCAGCTGGAACCAGTCTGGCCATTCTCCTCTGACATCTAACATCAACAAGGCATTTGTGCCCACAGAACTGCCGCTCACTGGATATTTCCTCTTTGTCGAAGCATTCTCTGTAAACCCTAGAGATGGTTGTGCGTGAAAATCCCAGTAGATCAGCAGTTTCTGAAATACTCAGAGCAGCTCGTCTGGCAGCAACAACTATGCCACGATCAAAGTCTACTAAATCCCCTTTCTTCCCCATTCTGATGCTCAATTTGAACTGCAGCAGATCGTCTTGACCATGTCTACATGCCGAAATGCATTAAGCTGCTGCCATGTGATTGGCTGATTACTAATTTATAATTTATATCAAAACAAAGAGAAGCCTCAAAAAATGCTAGGTCGTATTAACCCATAAATTCAAATTTGGACAAACTCAATGTCGGGTTAATTTTGTTTGTACATCCAATTTAAGTCATAAAAAAACATTTCTGCATAATATACATCATGTAATTGAGTATTTCCAATTTAAACGGAATTTTACATCAAATTTAACAGCTTTTTCAAACTCAACGATTGTGTTTGTATTTTGTTTGACTCAGCGTTGGGTTACAACAAAAACCCAGCATTTCCAGAGCCTATAAAAACCCTAATTTCACTGCTTCTAAACAAAGAAAGTGTGAAAGAAGAACTCCAGACTCTGACCTGCTTTCAGGATCCAGTAGTAGAGCGGGAACAACGAGACGAGCATCAGGATATACAGACCTCCAGCTTCATCAGCCGGCAGCAGGAGACTGACCGTCTGAGAGCCAGACATCATCATCAACACACTGCTCTGAGTGACTGAGTGCTATATTTATACACACACACACACACACACACACACACACACACACACACACCTTTCCATTATGAGTCTTACATGACTCTTTAGAGAGCATGCACACACACACACACACATACACAAATATACACAAAACACAAAAATATACACAGACACACATAGACATAAACACATATATGTGCAAACACACATACACACTCCCACACATATATACACTTACACACTTCTATTATGAGTCTTTCATGACAGTTCATCAAGCAACAAAAGACTGCATTAGTAATTCATGGGCTTGTTTTGGAAGTGTGTGTGTGTGTGTTTATGTGTGTGTGTTCTTCGTCACGCTGCATGCAGAAATACAGCTGCTGTCCCACACACTCTTGTTCTCCCTCTGATTGTGTGTAAACATGGGGAAAACCTCAACATCAACCTCCTGTGTTCTGCTGATACACACATTTAATACTGTAACAGAAACCAACATACAAATAAGAGAAAACCAAACGCAGAGTTCAGTGTGTGTGTGTGTGTGTGTGTGTTCAGAGCGCTTGAACTTTGACATTTTCATCAACATGATTAACATCTGTGCTGCGCTTTCTGTAGACAATGAACACACACACACAGTTATCCACACAAACTCGCAGATACATTGATACACACACTGATCTACACACACACAGTTTCAGAGAGAAACAATTTCAGTTATCCACACACACACACACACACACACACACACACACACACACACACACACACACACACACACACACACACACACACACACACACACACACACACACACACACACACACACACACACACACACTAAGACCTGTTCTTCAGTATGATGATGCGTTTCCAACTAAAACGGAATATTACATAGGGGGTGGGGTTTCATTTTAACCCCACCCCTTATTTTTTTACTCTTAGCAAACTAATGGCTTGAGGGGCGTGGCTAAACATATTTCACCCAATCAGAGAAGAACAGCCATTCCAAAGCAGATTTTGATTAAAGACTACCAAAAACAAGCGAATCGACTGATTAATTCATTATTTAATTATTCATTATTCACATTAAGACCAACAATTCATTCCTTATCTCTACGGCTAAATGTCTTATCGCCACAGTGGAATGAACTGCCAACTATTCCAGCATATGTTTTACACAGCGGATGCCCTTTCATCACTGGGAAACACCCATACACTCTTATTTACACACACACTCATACACTACGGCTAGTTTAGTTGATTAGTTCCCCTATAGTGCATGTGTTAGGACTGCGCCCGAGCACCCAGAGGAAACCCACAAAAACACAGGGAGAACATGCAAACTCCACACAGAAACACCAATTGCACCAGCCGAGGCTCGAACCAGTGACCTTCTTGCTGTGCTACCTTAAGCCTCACTATGTGGCTAGCATCATGATCACAATCTCTCCTCACACGCAGAAAACACCTCGATGATGAAATGTTTACAGGAGTCCGCCGCCTCACAGGACCGATTTCACAGTGTTTTTATTATTGTTTGATCATGTGACACTCCTCCTGCTGCCGATTGGTCAGATCATTTAGAAGACGAATACACAAACACAGCATTTAATAAAGGAATGTCTTAGTAAATCTGAGAACATCACTCTCATAATCAAAGTCTCAGCGGTTGATCGCTATTGGTCCAGAAATGCAGCGTATTAAGGCCAGTTTTCCAGCATCGTGTATAAAACATTGTTCATAAGAGGACAAACATATCAAAACATTGATCTTTCTCTGATGATAAATGTCTTTAAAGCATCGTGTAACATGATGTAAAATGACCAGCACATGCTTGAGCGAAAGTCAAAAGTAAAGCACATTCTACTCGAGCTAGTCACGTATATTCAGACACTTTAACCCTGTGTGTGCTGGTGGGTCGTTTTCATCCACTCTGGGCTGATTTTGAGGCTTAGCTTGGCCCCAGTTTTCCCTGTTTCAGCAAATGAGATGATTTATGGAGATAAATCTCAATTTGATGCATATTTAAGGAAAATGTGTTGACATTGTTCAAAAGCTCATCATCACACAGTTCAGATTGACTCCCCTTTGGTGATGTTGCTGCTGTTTTTGACTTCCATTATAATCACATTTATTGACTGCAAAACCATGACAGCAGATCATCAAGCATTCTGGTTTCCCCTGTTGGGATTTAGAGGGGCAGTGTGTCATTTATACTGTTGATCATCAGTTGTCAGCATTAACTCTTTAGATCGGCCTGTGCTGAAAAGTTTCTGTCTGTTATATGGAGTTCAGGCCGGTTGCACCAGCAGTGTGTAAGTTAAAACATAACCTAGTTGTGACTTAAAGGGACAACTTGCACACTACTAAATATTTTTGTGTTGCAACACTGAACTCAGTTTAAACATAACGCTGTGTTCCAACCAAATATTTACGGCAGACTATGTATAAAGGGTGAAAAGAGATGACAGGGAGATTAGTTTGCATTGAGGGGCTCATGATCATAATGCACTATGACCTCTCGATACTCACAGCCTTATTCTCCTCCCAAATCTCGCATTTATTTCAGTTATGAAAGAAAAGTTTCACTTTTTTTCAAGAATGTTTTTGTGTTAAATGTACCATCAATTAAACTGAGAATCACTTCATGACTTAATGATGATCTGCTATCATGGCTTTACAGTCAATACATGTGATTATAATGGAAGTCAATGGAGCAAAAGCAGCAACAACATCACCAAAGAGGAGTCAATCTGAACAGCACACAAGGGTTAAAAAAGAGACAGAAAAACAACACTGTAACATCAGATATAAAAACAGGCGTCATTAACTAGTGGAGTTGACCAGCTGCTTGTTGTGTGTGTGTAATGTGTGTGTGTAATGTGTGTGTGTGTGTAATGTGTGTGTGTGTGTGTGTGTGTTCACTTAAGCCAGACTCCGTTGGCGAAGTTTAATTCTGGGATACAGCTGTGGAGAAAGAAAAAACAAAACATTAAAGATCATTTTGAAGGTTGTAAACAACAATAAATGTAATATTTCTCACACATTTACATCTATATTTTCCACAGCCTCCGAGAATCCAATAAGCTCCATATATTATTGACAACATATATAATGTTAGTTATTAAATACTTGATGTGTGTGACGTTTGACACACTTCATCTTTATTTACAGATACTGACATATCATTGATGCTTTTCTTGCAATGTTCTTTATGCTGTGTGTTGTTGTCACTCACCCCGAGCAGGTTTCTGGGCACGTATCCCTCCGCACCGCCGCAGCGCACCCACCACCAGTCAGTCTCCAGCTCGTCCTCTCGGCGGATCACACTCATGCAGTCACCCTCTCGGAAGGAGCACTCGTCCTCCTGCGCCGCCTCGTAGTCCCACAGCCCGTACACCACACCACGGTTCATGATGCCCATCTTCTCCTGCACACCTGAAGTGAGAAACCAACACATGTGCTATAAAGACAAGCTTAGAACAAGGGTTGCAAGATATTGGACAAATCTGACAATTTTTCTCCCTCCTGTGAATTTTTTATTGTCACACTTAAGAAGATATTTTGAAGAATGCTGAAACGGTAACCTTTGACTTTCCATAGAAGCTAGAACAAGTACTATTTGTACCCATGCACAGAGTGAATGGAGAATCTTCCCACGCTTACCGTAGAGGAACTGCGAGCACTGAGTGTATCCCTCCTCCATCTCCTCACACTTATCGGCTGCCGTCTGCATGTCGCTGTAGGTCATGGCGAACACGGCCGCTCCAGACTCCACCAGGAACTTACACACCTGCACATTATTACAGGACGCGGCGCAGTGCAGAGGAGTCCTGAAACACACACACACACACACACACACACACACAACCTTGTCAAAGCTTCATTTTCATGCAAACATGTTTGTTATTGATAACAGTCGATATTTAAACTTTATTCTCAAGTAGACGATTTAAAAAAAACCAGACAGCACAGATATAACTGTTTAGATCTTACATGAATGACTGTAATGTTATATGCATACAAAGTACCAACAACAAAGATCTACAAAACATTCTGTAGAAACAACATGCTTTCATGCTCCTCGATCTGTGCTTAAAGGTGCCCAAGTTAATGAAAAAAATATTAACAAAACAAATAACCATCATATGAAACAGTATTCACCCTCAGCAGGATTTATGATCAGTTTAATTATTAAGCATAAGAATTATGCTTCCACAATCCAAAATTAATAGTCACCTAACAGCCCCTCCCCTTAATCGGCAGCTTCTCCCCTTAACTTGCATACACTCCTTTTCAAGACGTGCCCCCTCCCCTTTCCATTATCAGCTCCTCCCCTTCTCAATTAACTCATCCCCATCAGAACACCCCAATTTAAGATCAGCCCCTCCCGTGGTCCTTTAGCTCCTCTTATTCTTTATGACCAGCCCCTCCCCTTCATTATAACCTCACCTTATTAATGACCAGCCCCTCCCCTTGTCCATTAGCCTCTCCTCTTCTCTATGACCAACCCCACCCCTTGCTCATAACCACATTCTTTTAAGCCCCTCCCCTTTTGCGTCATAACCTTCCCTTTTTATGATAAGCCCCTCCCCTTCTCCATTATAACCCCCTTCTTTATAAGTCCCTCCCCTTCTGCACTATAACCTCCCCTTCCTTATAATAAGACCCCCCTTTTTCATTATAACCTGCCCCTTCATCACCAGCCCCTCATCTTCATCATCATAACCGCATTTTTTATGATCAGCCCCTGCCCTTTTCCATTATAACCTCCCCTTCTTTATAAGCCCCTCCTCTTCTTCAATATAACATCCCCTTCTTTACGATCAGCCCCTCCTCTTCCTTATAACCGCTCCTTCTTTATGATCAGCACCTCCCCTTCTTAATTATAACCTCCCCTTCTTTATGATATGCCCCTCCCTTTCTACATAACCTTCTCTTTTTATGATAAGCCCCTCCCCTTCTCCATTATAACCGCCCTTCTTAATGATAAGCCCCTCCCCTTCATTATAACCTCCCCCTTTATGATCAGCTCCTCCTCTTGTTTATTAGCTCCACCCATTCTTTATGACCAGCTACACCCCTTCATCATCAAAACCTCATTCGTTATTATCAGCCCCTCCCCTTGACTGGCAGCTCCACCCCTTCATCATCAGTAGCCCCTCGTCTTCACCACCAACTCCTCCGTTTCTGCAGTAGCTGCTCCCCTTTTCTACTTCTGTGTATTGAACCAATAGGTACATCATCCCGGTATTCAAAAGGCACTTATTCTTTTGAGATTTGTCAGCATAAATGTACTAAATTACACTATTCAAACTACATAGATTAGTACACAAGTATGCGACACCTTATTAACTATTAGTTACTGAAGTGGAATCATGTGATTAAACAGCCTGTATGTTTTGCAGTGTGTTAAGGCGCTGCTCACCATCCGTCACTGTCGGCTGCGTTCACGTTGACTCCATACTGAACCAGGAATTTGACGATCTCTGTGTGACCCGCACACACTGCATTATGGAGCGCAGTGATGCCCTCGTCATTCGGCTGACTCGGATCCTCAACCTGTTCAAGCAAACAAACATCAGAACAGTGTCGTTAGTGTCTATGACATACTAATATCCACTCACACACACACTCTGACACTGAAGTTTAAACAGTGAAAAGAGTCTTTCCTCATATATGACCCTCTGCACCAGGTCAAACTCTCCCTCCAGCGACGAGTCCAGTAAGAGAGCCAGAGGATTGAAGCGCACCCGCATGCTGTGATCGATGCGCTCGGATCCAGATTTACGCAGGTTTGTCCTCTTGCCCTGAACACCAAACACAGACAGAGATCTGATGTTAAACACTAGCCTAGAGCGCCATCAAGCACTAGTCTACAGTGCTATCTACTGTTATAAATTAGCCTATAGCACCATCTTCTGTTAAACATTAGCCTAGAGCACCATCAAGCACAAGTCTACAGCGCCATCTACTGTTATAAATTAGCCTAGAGCGCCATCTACTGTTAAACATTAGCCTAGAGCACCATCAAGCACTAGTCTAAAGCGCCATCTACTGTTATAAACTAGCCTAGAGCGCCATCTACTGTTAAACATTAATCTAGAGTACTATCAAGCACAAGTCTACAGCGCCATCTACTGTTATAAATTAGCCTATAGCACCATCTTCTGTTAAACATTAGCCTAGAGCACCATCAAGCACAAGTCTACAGCGCCATCTACTGTTATAAATTAGCCTAGAGCGCCATCTACTGTTAAACATTAGCCTAGAGCACCATCAAGCACTAGTCTAAAGCGCCATCTACTGTTATAAACTAGCCTAGAGCGCCATCTACTGTTAAACATTAATCTAGAGTACTATCAAGCACAAGTCTACAGCGCCATCTACTGTTATAAACTAGCCTATAGCACCATCTACTGTTAAACATTAGCCTAGAGCACCATCAAACACTAGTCTATAGCGCCATCTACTGTTATAAACTTGCCTAGAGCACCATCTACTGTTAAACATTAGCCTAGAGCACCATCAAGCACAAGTCTACAGCGCTATCTACTGTTAAAAATTAGCCTAGAGCACCATCTACTGTTAAATATTAAGCTAGAGCACTATCAAGCACTAGTTTACAGTGCCATCTACTGTTATAAATTAGCCTTGAGCGCCGTCAACTGTTAAACACTAGCCTAGAGCACCACCAAGCACAAGTCTACAGCGCCATCTACTGTTATAAACTAGCCTAAAGCAATGTCTACTATTATAAACTAGCCTAGAGCACTATCAAGCACTAGTCTACAGCGCCATCTAGTGTTATAAACTAGTCCAGAGCGCCGTCTACTGTTAAACAAATTTAAGTTCTTACAGGTGGGAAGGGAACCTGTCCTGTGACCTCTGGTGGCTTCATGTTGAAGGTGTCGTCTGGATTGTCCTGCTCGGCACTGCTTGGATACGGAGGTGGAGGATACGGCGGGAAATCCTCCATGAAGCTGTCAGGAGGAGGTGGAGGTGGAGGGCTCTCCGGCTGTGGCGGTGGGATGATAATGGATGCGTCAATTTTCGGGGCCGGATGAGGAGGTGGCGGCGGAGGAACGTCTTCTGCTTCCACTTCAGGAGCGATTGGAAATTCGGGAAGTGTTTCTTCAGGCACTTCTGGGGTTTCTGCATCGTATCCCTGCGGTTTCGCTAGCGTCTCCTTCTCCTCCTCTCCAGGAGGACTTACCGTCTCCATCGCCGCCAGAGTGGTCTTCTGATACAACAGTTTCTGGATGTTGGGGCCGCCTGGGCCCTCAGGCTCTGTGATGGAGCTGCGTTTCTTAAGGGGCCGTGGGGCGTTGTAGAGTTTCTTCCGAAGCGCCTCCAGGTCCAGGTCACTCTGGTGGCGGTAAGGGTTCGAGATGAAGGGCAGCAGTTTGGTGGGACTGAGGGGTCTGGGAATGCGCTCTGTTTCTGGGGTTTCTGAAATGGGCTCTGCAGGACTGTGGTCGGTAAGGGTTTCGGAGACACTGGGGGGGTCCAAGTATGGGTTCTCAGGGTGTGGGGTTTGAGACGGCTGGCCTGCGGACGTCACTGGCTTACCGTAAACTGCAGGGACATCAGGAGAAAACAATACACTGTCAGCTGATTCATATAAATCACAAGATTGAAAAACAGGCAGGAATAAAAGGAGAAATGCTCGAAAAGATTAATGAATTCATGAGGGGATAGTTCATCCCAAATTTAAATGTTATGGTAGAACTAGCCTAGACCGCCGTCTGCTGTTTTAAACTAGCCTAGAGCGCCATCTGCTGTTATAAACTAGCCTAGAGCATCATCTGCTGTTATACACTAGCCTAGAGCGCCACCTGCTGTTATACACTAGCCAAGAGCATCATCTGCTGTTATACACTAGCCTAGAGCGCCACCTGCTGTTATACAATAGCCAAGAGCATCATCTGCTGTTATACACTAGCCTAGAGCGCCACCTGCTGTTATACACTAGCCAAGAGCATCATCTGCTGTTATACACTAGCCTAGAGCGCCACCTGCTGTTATACACTAGCCAAGAGCATCATCTGCTGTTATAAACTAGCCTAGAGCGCCACCTGCTGTTTTAAACTAGCCTAGAGTGCCACCTGCTGTTTTAAACTAGCCTAGAGCGCCATCTGCTGTTATAAACTAGCCTAGAGCGCCATCTGCTGTTATAAACTAGCCTAGAGCGCCATCTGCTGTTATAAACTAGCCTAGAGCGCCATCTGCTGTTTTAAACTAGCCTAGAGCGCCATCTGCTGTTATAAACTAGCCTAGAGCGCCATCTGCTGTTATTAACTAGCCTAGAGCGCCATCTGCTGTTATAAACTAGCCTAGAGCGCCATCTGCTGTTATAAACTAGCCTAGAGCGCCATCTGCTGTAAAAAAAAACTAGCCTAGATCTTAGCATTTGATCGAGCCTTTACTCTGGCAGAACTCTTTGGAGAACATAACTCAAGCTCCCTCACCGCTGATGAAGTGTCCGGTGCGGGTCTGTGCTCGACTCAGCGCACCCTGAATGCTCTGCTGCGTTGCTTTCCCGCTGCTGGGCTGCTGTGTGTACATGGAGTAGATGGAGCTGGCGGTCACAGTCTGCGGCTTCAGCAGCATCTGCCCGCCTGTGTCTTTGGCTCCAGGGGGATCGGGGCTGAACGGGTGCACCGTGGCCGCTGGTGGAGCCTCCAGTTTGGAGGGTAGAGTACCAGTCTGGGGGCCGGCCGGCGGCTGCGGGGATGCACTCTTCCCGGGGTAGGTGCCGGTGTTCTTCCCCAATCCCATCAGCCCTCCTGACGGAAAGTTGGCCTGTTTAGGTTTAGATGGAACTGGAGGTGGAACCTTGACTATGGTCTTCACAGCGCTCTGTGTGCAAGAAAACAAAATTATAATCTGGAGGATGTTAAGCTATAGATAAAGTATCTCAGAATAAAGCCTGACAGTAAGCAGCCTGATGTGAAGACAAGCAGAGCTGTTTAAGACTAAAGGGTTTATTTATTTTTAAACGCCATAATCGTTTATTAATTCTTTAACTAAACACAAAGCTGACAAACTATAACAGCAGTGTCTGAGTTAGTTTGAGACACACTAATTACATTATAAAATACCACTTAGGATGGATAGTATGCAAACTGGGACGCAGAAATGGTTTTCACAAAATAAATAAATGAAGCAGCCAGTGCATGTGTGTGTGTGTGTGTGTGTGTGTGGTGAAGCTCTACCTGTGCGTCTCTCACCAGGTCTTCACTGCTCTGGTTTTTCCTCAGAGCGGCTGCAGGCAGATCAGTGGACTCAAACATGGAGACGGGACGCACCCGCGGGTCTCGTTTCTGCACGTCTGTGTTATCTGTGACCAGAAGCAGAAGAGCGTGTGTTTACGCCAGCAGAGTCTATTTAACAGACAGTAAAGATGTAAAGATTTAAGAACTTTAATCCTAAAAGTGGCGTTTTGGTGACTGTCGCTTTAAATTCAAATGAGATTGTGCTCTTTTCAGAAGAGGGCGGAGCTACAAATGCCTGTGCATCAGTATAGTGACATTCTGAAAACAGCTGTGTTGTGAGTGCTGGTCAGGTGTGTGTGTGTGCTTCAGTGTGAGTGTGTGCTTGATGCTTGTATGTGGCTCCTGTCGCTTTTCATCTAAAACTCCACATCTATAATCCTTTTAGTCTATGCTGACATCATCTACAGCAGCTCAAACACTCTAATGGCTAATGGACAGGCGGCTGCTTCTCACTCAGGGCTGCTGTTTATGCTTATGAGATTGAGAGATGGGCACTAGTGGGCGGGGCTTTCCCCCTTAGATGACACGTACAAAGGGAAAATGTCAATCAAAGTGATTCTGCAGACACACAACTGTGCATAACATTGGTATTGAGAAACAGCCTATAATATTCTTGAATGTTTCCTGGGTTACTGCTGTAAACAATGCATCTTAAATGATTAGACTCGTCACATATTTATATTATTTATATATATGTTCATCAGCTCACAGTTCATCCAGTGGTGCGAGTGTAGAAACTGACCTTGGCTCTTCGATGCCTGGCTCACCATGCGCGGCAGGCTGGACGTCACGTGATTATTGCCGGATTTCGCATTCGCCAAACTCCAGTTCGCCAACTTCGAGGATGCTTTTCCTGAGTGCAAACCTGCAGAAGGAGTTTCAGGATTATTCCGATGATAACAGCACAGGTAAACAGTTTCTTAAAATCCCTGTGGAATTAAAATGTGTACATGTGAATACCAGTATGTCTTATATGTGTGCTCCAAGTGTGCAGTTTTTTTTTAATGTTTGACATGATCTCAACAGAAAAATGAAGAGGGTGGGACATTTAGGAGCTCCTCCCCTTAAAAAAAAAAAGCACAGCCAATAGCGTTTCCTTTTCTCACAGCTCTGCCAGTGAGAGTAGTTGAGCTCAAGTACATCAAAAAAGCAACCAATGAGAAGTAGGGGGCGGGGCATGCCAAACACTAGAGAGCATATGATTGGTCAGAAGATTTGATGAGAAACTGAAATATGACACGACGACAAAAACAAAATCATTGTCGGTGCCAATAGCCTAGTGGTTAAGTGCGCCGACATATAGCACCATGGTGCTCACGGCGACCCGGGTTCGAGTCCCGGCTCGAGGTCCTATGCCAACCCTTCCCCTCTCTCTGGTCCTAATACTTTCCTGTCTGTCCTCCACTATCCTATCCCAATAAAAGGTGAAAAACCCCTAAAAACATAATTATAAAAAAATAAAATAAAATCATTGATCAATTTAGGCGGATAAACTGCAAACACTGGATGTTTATTTCATTTTATATTTTCTAAACAAATGCTGTCAGTTTTGGAGCACACTAGATATTCTTAAAACTAACAGAAACATCTAACATTTTTTATTTCATTTTCACGGGACCTTTAAATCCTTAAATTCTGCTTTTGAAATGTAAGATTTTTTAAGAGCTCGTGGACAGCCTGTAATAATTCTGTAATTAATAATAAGCTCCTCATCAATGACAGCATGCGTTGTTTAGACTGTACATTAGAGATCTTCAGACCTGCTCCAGGCTGAGCGCTCCTGTCCTGATGCCCTGCTGTTGCTGTGAATTCTGGGTAATTGTGTTTGATGGGCAGGTCTTGTCTGTCGGGGCCTCTGGGCATCGTGGAGGACTGGATATAAGGGCCGACCGCTGCTACACGAGACCCTGGCGTCTGCGGGGGCGCCTGGCCGTCTGGAGGCAGCTGGAAACATCAGAAACTACATCAGGAGACAATCTGGGAAAAAACTAAAACAATATGAAATATCCTGCTGTATATAGAGTGCTCGGCATAGAGGACTTCACTCCACACAGATCTCTATTAAAATATTAATAATACAGTTTGTTTAAATGCACTATAATAAATTGGCTATATTCACTGAGAAATAGATAAAACTATATATATATATATATATATATATATATATATATATATATATATATATATATATATATATATATATATATATATATATATATATATACACAAACAAATACATTTAAAGGTAAAAATAAAGGTAAAATTTACTAACAGTCATATATAATGTTTGTGGCTAGTAGCCATCTAATAACCAGGATAATGTACATCCAGCTGGTTATGATTGCAGAATAAACCCTTCAGGGATATAAAACGGCTGCTGATAAACCTTAGAAGATAGGGCAGTGAGGCCCTCAAGCCAAAACATCCGACTGTAAGCACTCACAGGAAGGTTCTCCTTCTGCTGTAGAGCAGCTTTCTTCTTCCACAAGCGCTCGCGCAGCTCACTGACACGTTTGTCCATGTTAGCCACCTCCTGGTTCCTCTTGTTCAGGTTCTCGCGCTGCTGCTGCAGTTTAGCGTTCTGCTCCACGTTCAGGTTTTTCCGCATCTGATGAACAAACACAGGTGATCTGTGGAGTAGGGCTGGCAATATGTCTGAAAACCTACATTCATATTTCCTTCTTAAATAGAAGCAAAATTATAATGCTGCGTCCACACCAGACGCGGAACGCACGTCAAGCGCGAGTGATTTACATGTTAAGTCAATGCAAACACATGAATAGAGATCCTGCGGCACGATATGTACGAATGCCGCTGTGCGAATGCCGCGATATGCGTGAATTGAGCGTTTGACGCGCTTAACAATTGCTGGAGTTTGAAAATCTGAACTTTAGCGGACATTCGCGCCACGTTAACCAATCAGGAGCTTGCTCTTGTGGTGGCGTGATTGTGACGTATCGCCTGTTGTCGGTGTCCCGGGGGAAATCCTCCAGCTGACACCAACAAAAAGTTCATCAAACTGGGCTGGGCTCAGTCAGAAGCACCGCTGAAAGCCTCCGTCATCCAGGTTCAGTTTCTGGAGGAGTTTATAAGCTCACCGAGCTGGATGCACCCCGGAAATAATGTAGTGGTCTCAGACACGGCCCTAAATGTATTTACGCTTTTTTTCAGCCTTCATAAAGCACATAAACACTGTTATTTTCTTCATAAAATCCATGTTAGTCATTTAGCAACGAAGCTAGAGTCACCGAGCAGACAGAAGCCCTGCCAATCACGCGAATCCGCGTCTGTTCTGAAGCGGGGTTTGACGCGCGAATGAAGCGGGGTTTGACGCGCGAATGAAGCGGGGTTTGACGCGCGAGTAATCTCAAATGTTCACGCAGCTATTTACGCGCAAACGCTCCGCGTCTGGTGTGAGCACAGCATCATTATATTCATATTCTAAAGGCAATATTTCATGGTTATAGGACAAAGTACTGTATTGTCTGTTATGCCCACAAGAGGGTGCAAATGAAGCAGAATATGTAAAAGAAATATTTATTAGAAATTAAATGACCATCATTTTTTAAAGTGCATAACCTTTCAAACAACTGCTCTTACACTAAATATAATTCAATTAAAACTTCACACGCAGGTTTTTTTTTTTTGCATTTAAATGTGCATTTTTTTAATTTTCAAAACTGTACATATGGTGGACATATAACTGGATCACACTGAGGTCAGAACTGGAACATTTCACAGCTGAAATGACCACCTCTGACTGTGTCTGGAATGCAGAATGAGTAAACACAAACAAATTCAGTCAGTCAAGTCATCATTATGTCTTGTGGGCCTATTGAAATGCCATAAATTGTACATTCAAATGTGCTTTTTTTAATTTGACAATTTGAAACTCGATTATTTTCTTCAGACGGGCTGAGTGGAGGTTTACCTGCAGCTCCCTGTAGAGTCTGTCCAGCTCGGCCACAGAGCTGTGATTACTGTTCATGGCATCCATCTGTCCGCTCTTCAGCGTCTCCAGCTGTTTGCTCAGCTCCTCCACTTTAGCCACAGCCACCACCAGCTCCTTCTGCTTCTGATGGAGGAGATTATTCATCTGCTCCACCTGCTCAACTACACAATCACAGCAAAAACTCCCTTACTTTTGACTCAATATTTCGAAAAACAAGACAATATGTTTGCTTGCCCAAAAAAAAAACGCTTCTTGATCTGTATTAGAATCGAGACACAAGCTCTAAGTAAGAAGAGTGTTTTTGCAGTGTGGATACGCAGTTTCCGCTCACCCAGTTTCCCGTTGCTGAGTCTCTTCTGCTCCACCTGCCCCTTCAGGGCACGCACCATCTTCAGCTGCGCCTCCTGCTGCTCCAGCGTCTCCCGCAGCTGAAGGAGCTTCTTCTGCTCTGAGGAGCTCTGGGCCTGCCTCTGCTCCTGCTGCTGGAGGTAACGCAGACGCTGCTCCTGCACAACACACACACACACACACAGATCACTCAGAAATTAGAAGAGAAGCTGGTGCGCTTCTCGCTGCCCTTCTGAGACCAAGACAGCAAGTGTGTGTGATTATTCAACTCCCAACAAGAAGAAGCACATCCAGCAAGAGGAACTGTGGACGCCAGAGGAGGCTGTCTGATAGGAATGTCCGGCTGATAACCCTGATCCACTCAGAACACATCAGAGCACAGCTGCCCGACTCACTGCAGAACTGTTGGTCTGGATCTCCACTGGGCCAATATAGAAATATGCAAAAGGAGGCCCTTCACCATAGGGATGCATTACTGTGCTCTAAAACCAGGCTTTTATTTTCACTGTCCAAACCCTATATATATATATATATATGCATGCATGTATAAATAAATAAATATTTTTTAATTAACATCTCTCTCTCTCCTTCAGTGGTGTTTTCTGAGGTCTCTTTACCTTGGTGGACAGCAGCTGCTGCTGAGAGTCGATCTGACGCTGCTGTCGAGACGCCATCTCCTGCAGCTCTGCTAGAGTCATGTCCATCCACGGCCCGTTCACCTGAACACACACACACACACACACACACACACACACACACACACACACACACACACACACACACACACACACACACAGACACACACAGAGACACACACAGAGACACACACGCTGTGCTCAGTCTGTGCACTTCCTGTTCCTCCAGCCTGCATTCCTCTCATATTTACAGTCTGATATGCAGGAGCTCATCACTTAACAGATGGATAATGTTTCAACAGAAAACAGCAGTCAAACACACCCCGTTCTCCAGGCGTCTGTCTGCAGGTTTCTTCACACCGTTCCTCTTCTGAGTCCTGGAGTCTGAACACACACACATTACTTAGTACAGCAGGGCAGGGTTCAACCGATACAATACAGATAATGGTGGAACAAATAACACACTGAATATAAAATCTAAATACCCAGACTAAGGTTGGCATGACAACACAAGCGTACGCTAACTTTTATAAGCAGCACACATACACAAGATATTACTAAGATGTAGTCACTGACTTCAATCTATAATATCTGACTAATATCTGACTATATTTGGTCCATGCTCATAATCACAAACTTCACTGAACTTTCTGACATGGCCAATACCATGAGCACCTGCAAACAATGCATCATCCCATAATGCTAATATAACAAATCTAATATAACATTTGTAATATTACAAACATACTAATATAAAAAGAACAATTGATCATTTTTCTAACCCCGTTGTCAGATTATTTTGCTTGTTTTAAGAAAAAAACTCACTTGATTTTGACTCATTTCTGAAAACAAGACTATATTTTGACAAGACAATCTGTTTACATGGTTGACTCTTTATCAGAGTATTGTCTTAATCATATCACAATTGGAGTATTGGGGTGCATTAGGGTTGTGCTGATTAACAATAGTATCATGTATTAATAATAGGCAAACATATCACAGAAACCTGAGGCCTATGACTATTTAAAAGGCAATATTTAGCTAATTTTGCATTATTGTCAGCCTGTTTTCATTTCATTATTAAATAAATTGCTATTACTATCATCATCATTATTATTATTATTATTAATAATACATGAGAGCACAGTGATTTACATTGATTTTAATTTTTAGAGATGTATGATGAAAATGAAGTAGATGATTAAATGAGTGTAAAATCAGTCAAAAGTTTGTTAAATATGTTTAGAAATGATTAAATAAATGAGCAAATGACTATGCTGTTAGCTAATTTTGCATTATTGCCTACCTATGGCATGTTTTAACTTCATTATTGAATAAAATTACTATCATTATTGTTATTATTATTTTTAATAATAATATATAAGAGCACAGTAATTTGCATTGATTTGAGTTATTTTCCAAAATAAAGCATAATGAAAATGAAGCAGATGATTAAATTAGTGTAAAATCAGTTGAACGATTAAATAAATGGCCAAATAAGTAAACATGACTATGGCACTAGCTCATTTTGCTTTAATGTAGACCTATTAGATGTTTTAACTTCATTATTGAACAAAATTACTATCATTATTATTATTAATAATAATATATAAGAGCACAGTAATTTGTATTGATTTGTATTTTGCACTGTCGTTATATTTGCACTGTCTGTATTTTGTACTGTCTGGAGCCAGCACCTCTGCTTTTCACTCATTATAGCACACGTGCTGCGGATGATGTGACAATAAAAGTGGTTTGATTTGATCTGAGTTATTTTCCAAGATAAAGCATAATGAAAATAAAACCAATAATTAAATTAGTGAAAAATCAGTTGCTAAATTAGTTTGAAAATTATTAAATCAATGTGGTAAATATTAAACATAACATTGCTGTCCACTCATGCGATAGTAGCATCAATCTTACAGGAAGACAATATATGGTGATCTGATAATTCCGTATACACTACTCTCCATGTAAACATACTGACGGTTTCCCTCTATTTCCCCAGCACTAAATACCACGGTAAACACCTGAGGGTTGGCTGGCGGCTCTGCCATGCCGCAGAAAGAAGCGAACCTCTGGCCGCTGCTGACCCCACTGCAGCAGCAGATCCATCATCTTCTCATTCTCACCGACCACTCGCTCTGAAAACACACAGAATCACACACACACACATTTAACTGACAAAACACACTTGTCCTGTCAATACACTGCAAAAATGCCTTGTTTCTAGTGCAAATACATACAAACTTATAAATCAAGAAGCATTTTCTAGACAAGCAACAAATGTAGTCTTTTTTAGAAATAATGAAGTGAGTTTTCATTAAAACAAGCTAAATAATCTGACAATGGAGGAAGGGAAATAATCTAGTTTTCCCTTTTGGACATAGCATTATTTCTTTTACCCTATCAGCAGATTATTGTGCTTGTTTAAAGGAGAAACTCACTTAATTTTGACATTTTATTTCTGAAAACAAGACAATATTTTGTGCTTGTCTAGAAAAGGCTGCATGATTTAAGAGTCTTTACATATTTGGACTAGAAATAAGACCAAAACTAGAATGCTGATGATACAAAGGGCAACGTTTTGAGCAATGATGCTAGGCATCTTTGGGAAATGATGCCATTGATGGGCAACCAGGTGAGACACAGGGTAACTAATTAGGGGAATGGCTTACTTAGACAATATTATTGCCTATTATTTTTGCCCTGTGTATCATCAGCATAAGACAGAAAAGCCTGTTTTGTGGTGTTTCTGACCTGATCCTCTCCACACTTCACTCAGATAGCAGCTGCTGTTTTCTCCCGGCTCCCGGCAGAGCTGCAGCACGTCTGCACACACCGTCTCTGCAGTGATCGGCACCTCGCTGAAGTGCTGGTCATTATTGCTGAGGTACACCGTCAGGAACATCTGCGCACACGCATACAAACACACAGTTGCTTTTGTGAATTGTGGGGACATTACATAGGTTTGCATTGTTTATCTACTGTACAAACTGTATTCTGTATTGCACTAACCCCATCCTACCCCTAAACCCAACCCTCACAGGAAACTGGACAGTTTTGCTTTCTGAACACACACAAAACCAAACAAACACATGTTTTTATTTAGACTTTTAAGCTGGGTTTCCATCAACCTTTGTTAATGCACATTATGAAGTATCTCATGATTAACGAGTGTTATAAATGTCAACTTTAGAATAAAAATCCTTTAAGGACTTGTTTTAAGAACAAACATATTTTTTTACATATTATCTGTAAAAACAAGGCCATATACTTTTACTTTTCTACGAAATGCTGCTTAATATAAGAGTTTTTTTTTTTTTTGGATATTTGGACTGGAAACAAGACAAAAACTCTAAGAAACGTATTTTTTTGCAGAGAGAACAATTCTGATTAAATTCATACAGTCGTTACAAGGTCACTCATAGAGTAGTGATTTCCTATAAAGCAGTGGTCACCAAACTTGTTCCTGGAGGGCCGGTGTCCTGCAGATTTTAGCTCCAACCCTAATCAAACACACCTGAACAAGCTAATCAAGGTCTCACTAGGTATACTTGAAACATCCAGGCAGGTGTGTTGAGGCAAGTTGGAGCTAAACCCTGCAGGGACACCGGCCCTCCAGGACCAGGATTGGTGACTCCTGCTATAAAGTATATAAACAACCTGATCAGTTGTGGACCAGTGTGTTTTCTGTATATCCCCATCAGACCCTCATGAAATCTGATTCTGTGCCCGCAGAAAACTCAGCAGATTTACGCAGAACCTGTCATTTGCTCTATTTATTTACTCATGTAAATGTTTGTTAATATACATACACATTTATTCCGTTTTTTAAGACATTTATTCCAGATATATTACTGATTAACATGCAAATATTTATGTTATTTGGGTACAATATAAATCACAAAGAAATGTTTCTGTCTTCTAGTAGATGTATTATATAAGGCACCTGCTGATTATCAAAACTCAAAATGCAATTCATTATAAAGATTAATTGGTATTTTAAATGTTATCTATGCTTTCAGGTCCTATACTTACAAAATTAGTCTACATAAATACAATGTTGATTAATTTATTATGTGCAAAATTGCACAAAAATACTATGTCTGGGCCTGCTTATTGAGTAGATAGATAGATAGATAGATAGATAGATAGATAGATAGATAGATAGATAGATAGATAGATAGATAGATAGATAGATAGATAGATAGATAGATAGATAGATAGATAGATAGATAGACAGACAGACAGACAGACAGATAGATAGATAGATAGATAGATAGATAGATAGATAGATAGATATTATTTGATTATCGATACAAGCTTAAAATGAAATTGCCAAGACTTTAAAGTACTTACAGTAGTAATAATCAGGTTTTTATCTTAAAAATGAGCATTGGAGACAACATTAGCACTATTTAACACTGAACAATGTTTTAAAATTGACTTTATTAGTCATTGGCTGTTAATATGATTTCACTATTTAGAATTTCTTTTGTGAAATGATATTTTTAAGGAGAAAGTCCGAATGTGCGAATATAAAACTAAACTGATCTCAATATTACTGTACACACGGTCCTGTCTGAGATCCCCGAGTATCGATGATCATTAAATCAAACCTTAATACAAAACTCACAGGTATGATGACTGGCAAAATTACACTTAACGTTAAACACTCTAATTATTAAATAAGCAAAGCCTGATTCTGATTTTTACACAATTAATATTACAATCTTGCGTATTATTCAAACGAGTAACTTATCCGTCAACAAACTATCATCACTTACAGGCATCATCTTCGCGTCGCTCCAGAAAACGTCAACAGGAGTTATAATATCCGACTTTCACTGGTTTGGTGAAGGTATTAGACGGGATGTTAATCAAAAAACGCCATTCTTGTGTGAAACAAAACAAGTCCCGAAACTGTGACGTCAGAGGCCTTCCCAAACTTTCCTTCCGCCAGAGTTTTGGTTAGTCGACAGATGACGAATATCGACGTGTGTTTATTTATATGTTGAAAGTGTTCGATCAAGATTGATAAAAAGATTAATATTATTTCTTTCTCCTCTGTTGTTTTTCTCTGACTCCCTGCTGTCGGAAGGAGGACGCCTGTTGCTGAGAGGCGAGTGACGACACGGAGACTCTTCCCTGGATTGCTGCAAGACGGGATACAGCTGCTGCCGGAAGTTAACGAGAATTATTTACATTATTCATTAAATCACCCATTAAATTTTATTTTATTGTCTACTCCTGTCCCAATCTTAACCCCAACCATCACAGTATTGTAAAAACAGTGATTATACCTAGTATTATTAATTAATTTATTAAATTACCCTTTACAAAGTATTGTATTAACGTCTACTCTTACCCCAACTCTCACACTAATGTAAAAATATTAATTAATGCTGTACAGTGTCAGAAATATTATGCCTTATTGATGTGAGTATCCGCAGCTGTATCCCATTTAGATTTACCTCTTCCCTGCCTCTGGAAAAAACGGGACAAGATGGCGGCTCTTTCTCTCACTTCTACGCTCACGAAATCTTCGTGTTTTTGTGTCAAATACATGTGTAATATTCAGTTATGTAAAATAAAATGATGAAAGTAAGCTAACAGGAAAAGATAAGCTTTACAAAACTTTAATCAGCTGAACCACCTGATGCGCTGGATGATAATGAAGCGCTCACTGAGGACACCCGGCGGTGGAGTGTGCAAATACAGCGAGGAAATCACTCACTTTCCACTGTAGTTGATTTTACATTTTAGTGAATTTCTCTGAGACTGTTTGTATCACAATTATAAGTATATATGTTCGGTACAGAGCGAATTTAGAGGTTTTCAAAAATACCAAATGTTAGGACGTTTCACAATGGAAACTTGATGTACTTGGTCTTAAAAATGGCTAACATAAAGAGCAGATTGTCATCATTCACTCATTGTTCTGAACGAGTTTGAGTTTCTTTCCTCTGCTGAACACAAAATATATTTTGAAGAATGTTAGAAATTTCATTATCATTTGTTTAAAACTACCAGTGTTGGGTAAGTTACTTTTAAAAAGTAATAGATTACAAATTGACCAGTGCTGTAAAATTGTAAGCAGATTACATTACTAATTACTTCATGTAAATAGTTATCAGATTACTGATTACGTTACTTTGAAGTTACTTTTAAAACATAAAATACACTAATAAAAATACAAAATAAACGGCAGCTCTTTCAGTAATTTAATAGGCCTATTGACTGAGAACAGCTCGACACACAAGACTTAAAGAGTTCAGCCAAAACTTAAAATTCTCTCTTTTAAAAACATCTTGTCAGATATTTTAATTGAAAAAAGACAATTGTAATATAGGGAATTTTGCGAAAATGTAACCCATGCAACACACACAACACACACACACACACACACACACACACACACACACACACACACACACACACACACACACACACACCAAATTCCAAAACAATTACCTCCACATTTAATTTGGTAAGATTATTCATTCATTCATTTTCCTTTCTCAGTCCCTTTATTAATCTGGGGTCACCACAGCAGAATGAACCGCCAACTTATCCAGCATAAGTTTTACGCAGCAGATGCCCTTCCAGCTGCAACCCCTCTCTTGGAAACATCCATACACACTCATTCACACTGATACACTACGAACAATTTCGCCTACCCAATTCACCTGTACCACATGTTTTTGGGGGAAACCCACATCAACAAGGGGAGAACATGCAAACTCCACACAGACACGCCAACTGACCCGGCCGAGGCTCAAACCAGCAACCTTCTTCAGTGAGGCGACAGCACTACCTACTGCGCCACTGCCTCGCCCCTGTATAAGATTAATGTTTTATAAAAATATCATTTACATACATTTTTGTATTTTAAAGAAACTTTACAACCAACAGGTGTCGACAAATAACCTAATTAAGAGTTACTGAATCATTTACTCAACCGATTCATGTGACGCGTCCGATTCATTTAGTACTAACAGTTCCGAAATTCACTTCTGATTTGGCTCTGTTTACTTTTATCACTCAAATAGAGCAAACAACTTATTTTTAGAATTGTATTCATGAAATGTAGGTCACTTAAATTAAAATTCCAAGTGCTAGTATGACGTACTAATGCCGATTGGTCAATTGTTCAATTGAGTCGATTCAATGAATCATTTGAATGGGTTGGGGACATCGGTTTGTGGGTCTGTAATCACTTGATGGAGTAAATCAATAACGCCAAATTAACGCTAATTACGAAAGAAGCAAAATAGTAAAATATTGTCCAAAATCAACTCAAAACGATCGTTAAATGGATTTGCAGTGATTACAGCGATGTTTATCAGGATACAACCTGCAGCTGCGACTCAGGTAACGCGAAATATCGCGATAAGCACACACAGAAATGTCAATGTTTAGAAATGCGCCATTAAATGTCACACTATTGAAACAAAGACTATAGAATACTAAAGGGAACTTTGATTGAAAGTACCATGATTTGTTTATTTTTTGACAGGCCATTTTGAAATAATGAATTGAGGAAAATATCATGAATTCGCTAGCCTACATTAATTTCTGACAGTTTGGTATTAATGATTACTAATGTTTTTATTACAGTCATGTATTAAACATGCCAGTGTTTACGGAGCAAATGTAAATGTGCCAGATGTTTGTCATTTGCAGTAACTGCAGACCAAATAGGCCTATCTGTTTTCTTGGAAGCAACCTTGCTATGTAACTGGTGTTTTGCTAAATCTACACTCTTAAGTATCTTCAAAGCCTGATGTTGTTTATTTATTTGTTTGTTTGACAAGACTAGCCATATCACATCCACAGTGATTGTGTTTTCTGCTTAGCATTAATAAAGCCACAACAACAATATTTATCTATTTTGGCACCTGTCTCTTATCATAGCCATTTGCACAATTTACATTATACATGTACAACTGTACACTACACAAGCGCAGATGTTCATTGGGTCTTGAGGTTAAAATAATTCCTCCTCAGCTGTAATCAGAACCACAATTTACTCGAGCGACTTGCCAAAAAAAGCCATAATAAAACTCATGCATCTACACATTTGCTGGAACTGAGGACTAAACAGAAATCTAGTGTGGTAGAAGGCGAATAGAGGAGGTGAGCTCAAGGTTAACTCTATTCACAGGAAAAGCTGGAATATATTGCAAAACTACCGTTATCACGATTATAGTATTTGCAACATATTGCAGACGGGTGGAAAAATACATATAAAATCTAAAATAATTAAATAAAATAAAAAATTGTATCAAAATAAAAATTTTTTTAAATTGAATTAATTTTTAAAAATTAAAATAAATAAAAAAGTAAAATAAATAAAACATGTAAATAAATAATAATAAATTAATTAATACAAATAATATAAAAATAAAAAATAAATTAAATTAAAAAATAAATTAAAATTAGAAAATTAAATAAAAAAGTTAATAAAAATGTTAATAAATTTAAAAATTAAATAAATTGAAATAAAATAATTAATAAAAAAATAATAACAATTAAAATAAATAATTAATAAACATAAAAAATTAAATTAATATATAAAACAAACTAAATAAATAAATAAATGACAAGTTTTCACTTATAGTGTTACAAAAACTAAATTGCTGTATTCAAAATTGCACCTTAGACCCTCATTCACTATACCCTACATTAGTCCACTAATATAGTCCACTTGAAGGAGTGAATGAAGCAAGTGAATTGGAGCACTACTGAGTATTGTGTGTCTGAATACTCGACAACTTCTGCGTCAATCAGAAAAGTGCTGTTTATTTCATTTGCATCTTTGCTTCTGTGCATTTATCTATGCTTGTAATTAGATTATTATGTGTTATGCAGAACAATCCTAATTAGCATAAAATTATAAATTCTTTCCCCCAGAAAAAAATTAAATTCAAGCCATAAAGTTAAATTATCGTAAAATATCTTGCAGAAAAATTAGACTAGATATTCTTCAAGACACTAGTGTTCAGCTTAAAGTGACATGTAAAGGCTTCACTAGGGTAATTAGGGTAAAGTTAGGGTAATTAGGCAAGTCATTGTATAACAGTGGTTTGTTCTGGAGACAATCCAACACTAATATTGCTGAAGGGGCCAATAATATTGAGCTTAACATGACTTTAACACTATTAAAAAACTGCTTTTATTCTAGCTCAAATAAAACAAATAAGACTTTCTCCAGAAGAACAAATATTAGAGGAAACACTGTGAACAATGCTTGCTCTGTTAAGCATCATTTGGGAAATAATCCACATAAAATATTGCAAATACTTTTGCCCTCAGCTGTAAGTCTAAACAAACTTTTGGCAGAGTTGCAGTTTATTGTCCTCCACAAGGGGGAGCAGTGAAAGAGTGTGCACTAAAGCAAGTACGGAGAAGTCTTTTCAGCTTTTCAGCATCTCCTTTTGTCCAGAAAGGCCTTTCATTAAGACGGATGCATTGTCGTTGGTTTTGTTGCTGACACGTTACGCTGGATGCATAATGTGCATGATCTGTCAGGATGTCTATTCATTGCATGTTCTTTACATTGCAAAAAACGTCTTGTTTGCATATGACGCACATAACGCCATCAAATATGTTTGGAATGCATTATCTTGTAACAGGCTTGACGCTTAAAGGGGCAGTTCACCTTATTTATTTACTCTTCCTCAAGTGTTTCCAAACTTTTATGAGATTCTGTCTTCTGTTTTACCTCAAAGAAGATATTTTAAAGAATGTTGGAAACCTGTAACCATTGTCTTGCATAATAGGAAAAACAAATACTATGAAAGTCAATGGTTACCAGTTTTCAGCATTTTTCTAAATATCTTTTACTGTGTGTTTTACAAAAGAAAGAAACTCATAAAGGTTTGGGCTAAGCAAAGGTTGAGTAAACAGAATTTTCATTTATGAGTATTATTATTTATTTCAGTGTATTTCAGGGTATCTTAGATTAAATATATGCAATTAAACATTTTACTAGTGTATTTTCAATATTGCTGCAAACAAGATAATATGCATTCAATTCACAGATTGACACTGCAAAAATGTCTTTGCTTCATTCCATTTTGACTCATTATTTCTGAAAACTAAACAATATTTTAAACTTGTCCAGAAAATTCTTCTTGATTTAAGAATCTTTAGAAATTTGG